CCAAAGGTACACCCCCAGGGTTTAAGGAGCTAATAAGGAGTATATGGAGCTTAACACGGCCTGAGAGGGTTCCAAATTTGGGGGGTGTACATGTCTAACTCCTATAATAGTCTCTCAGTATACTCCATATACCAAAAGAAGCTGTACAAGCAGGACCCCAGCTTCTCCCTGTGATTCTCCAAAATCCTTGGGGTGCCGAGGGTATTCTTAGGTAGATACAGTAGAACATGGGGTATATGGGGATCTTTTTATAATATACCCAAAGCCATATTCTATCGACCTAAGGGGGACTATATCCCTAGAAGCGGCCTTTTGCAGCCCAGGCTTCCGAGCACATGCCTTTGGCCTGTATTAGGCCAAAGGGCTGATGTACAAGAGGAGTCCGAGGGATTATATAGGGAACATATTGCATGGGGTTTATAAAGGGAATATGTCATGAATCATTAACTGATAATTGTTGGGATTGCTCGGCCGAGTTGGACACTGGAATCTCAGGAACCCAGTGTTTTCAACAGCCACAGTGCCGTCACGACATCAGCTGCAGCTTCCTCCTGTCATTGGTCCGAAATGAACGTTCTCAGGCTAGGGCATCACGTAAGGAGTTGCTGTATAGTACCTACCCCAGGCAGTCAAATTTACAGACACACATCTAGGAGAACTACTACATCCCTCCATCGGTGAGGCTCAAATGACTGATTTCCGCCGCGGCTAATGTCCTTGTCTCAACGAGATGTGGAGAGCTGAGTACTTGTAGATCTTCGACACCTGCTCAGGTCTCTGCACTCACGTCCGTGTCTTAGGGGGGCTCTCAGATTCGGATCCTGTGTGCAAAATGCCCTTAAGTAGGTAAGTAGTCCTGATTATCAGGAATCAGATTGAGAAATAGCTTGTTGTGCGCTGCGCTGTCCTTGATTTAAGGCATATGGCCATATTGCAAAAAATGCATGCTCCCGCGCTTTCCTGGCCAGCTTCAGACAAGTGCGCCATCCCCTGCGGTGCCTATCACGACGCTGCCGGTGTCCTTGTCAATCTGATTTGAGAGCACCTTTGCCAAATTGAAGTCTGCATGGCAAACGCTAACTCCGTCATTTTCTCTATCTGCACTGATTAGTGAATAGTGTTAAACGCTGTCCCGTTCTATCACGAACTCAAACTGGTCTGTCAGCTTCATTGCTCTCAGACCACGAGAGGATTTGAGCCTGGTGCAGAAAAGTCGCGCACATTTCAGAGACGCCGATGTTCGTCAAAGCTTCTGCTTCCGCTGGACCATGCCGCGCGCGCCCTACAAACAGAGTACGCTTCACCTGACCAAGCACAGATTTGTTCAGGTGAGGTGGGACCTTTATGGCTGAAGTGTAGACAAAGAGCTCTAGGGTTCGCAGCCCAAAGAAAGGATGTTCTAGCTAGGTTGCATATGCTATTTCCTGTTCCGCGCAGGCTCTGCGAGTTTTGAAATACCTGTCTAGCAGCTGCAGGATCCACGTGAATGATTGGAAGGCATGCCTTTGTGTCCTGCGGCAAGTGGAAGTAGACTGAGCAGTAGCCTTCCTCAGCACTAGATTGTGTGCAGGCAGATTCAACTGCTGCAGGTCGGACATGCAAATCTGCGCACTAGAGACCCACATGAGTTATTGTGTGTTGCGTAAAGCAGGCAAAGGGTACCAGTATATCAGGAACATGTGAAGGGCATGATGGGCTCTTTGTGTATGATGGGGCCCCAAAGGCCACACTTGAATTCCCACCTTTGTTGCATCCAGGAGACCTCGCAGAAATCATCTCCTTGCAGATTCAAAGTAATGCAGAGATCTTAAAGGAGGTGCGCCGTGACCCTCCATCAGCAACGAAAGGGTGGAACCACCCTTTTCTACATTCTAGGTTGCCCTTGGGGGCAGGGGTGTTGACGGTCTGCCTGCTCCAATTTCAAGATGCAAGCGAACCCTCCGCAGCCTCGAGGGTAGAAGTGGAAGCAGAAGCCACCCAGGCCGCAAGCAGAGAATTCCGGTGATGCCAGGTATTCTCCCTGGCAAGCTGCTGAGCATGCACCAAATTAGGAATATCCCCGTTGTAGCCATCCTGACTACTTCCACGGAAGGTGCCGGGCCTCAGTTGGTGAGCTTCACGCCTACCGATCCATTCTGGCGCTAGCATCTGCATACATGTGCTTGACAACTTTGCGTTCGTTTCCGTGATCTCACTGACTGGCATCGGAGAAGAACACCAACTCCAAGAATTCAGATTTTCATGTGGCATACCGCGCCCAGCTTGTTACTGCATACGCATTGGTCCCCCCAAAACAACACTCACTACCCCCCCTTCCCCTAATATTAACATCCACCCCTTCCCCTGAACATTTCATACTCCGGTCATTTGGTATATCTATAAGACCTTGGGATAATTTAATATTACGGGTGTGGGGGGGCTAAGCCCTAAACCCTACTAATAATAACCTGTATATACACCTTTAAGGGCGGGGGGGGGGTTAATATGAGGGAAGTGGGGATTACAATCTACTACCCCGAAAGCTGGAATCTGAATGCCCCTAACCCCGGGTTTGCTCGCCGGAAGGCCCTAAATTTGAGGGTTTAGGGTTTAGACACGCGCATCGCTGACAGCTTTAGGGGTTTAGGGTTTGAGGGTTTAGGGATTTAGGGGTTTAGGGATTTATGGGTTTAGGGGTTGTCAGACACCCTCTCTACTTACTGGTTCTTAGCAGGGAACATGGGAACATAATCCCTATATAACTCCTTTACACGATATTCCCTATGTAACCTTTTAATACCTCTATGCATACTTATGTAACCCTATCTTAAATCCTTTATTCCTCCAGTCCCCAGTAAAACCAGTAAGTTTAGCTCCGGCCGAGCCTTCTGGAAGCGCGAGCGAACATCTTCCACGTTTTCTATCCTCCGTACGCAGCATCACCATGCTGGAGTTTCCAGAATTAGGGATACGTTGTTGGGGATCCCCATAATAATGACGAGACTATTTTGGGGCCAATGTTGGGGTCCCTCCCTACTTAGGGAAACTACCCTTTATCTCTATGATTCCCCGTCTGCTTTGAAACAACCATGGAGGTCCCAAGTTGGTTTGGGAAGACAATGCAGTTCAGCCTTTGGGGAGGCTTTTTGGACCCTAAGCCACCAGCATGCCTCCAATGAATCACCTCCACATTCTTGTTCTCGATCACCTGTGTTTAGGGTTGGGGAGCTCCAGTTGACATCTCGTTTGCAGATTGGGCGAAGCGAGAAAGCAGATCATTGGGAGCGGGATCCGCGGGATCCAACAGGAGGACCCCCGTGAACATTTCCCAAGATGCGGATACCCATCATATGCCCCAACAAGTGATAGTTCATTCTAACTGTGAGGAGGACTCTGGCAGAGGAGCCCCCAACTCTTGTAAACCCTGCAAAACCATTTCAATCGCTCTTCCATTTCAAGTTTGCATTCTCTTTTCCATCTGATTCTCCATTATAGGGGTAAGATTCTTAAACCCACCCCCTATAACTTCTGTCATGCCATTGTACCCTCGCATGGCCCTATCCAGCCCTCCGTCGCCTGGATCCTCTTCTCAAGCTGCAGTAGGTACTCCTGCAGGCACGGCGGGTGTTTACAAACATGGGGGTCCTCTTGTTCATATCACTTCGAACCTTGCTTTAGCACCACCCCAAAAACACAAAAAACACGAAACACCTGAAGCTGCTAAACTGTCCCGCGTGCCTGTAGGATTAAATACATGCATGCCTGTCCATGCCTGCCCAAAGGCAACTTGTTTTCACCATGTCTCTAGCACTGTGATGGAGTTTCAAGTCTGTCTGCTCTCCTCGCAGCTGTTCCGCATGAAGAGCTCCCCAAACGTAGCAGACCTAAAGTTGCTGTGTAAGACCAGATGGTCGTGACGGGGTTGCTGCATACGCTGCCGCTATAATTTATGGCACGTAGGCATAGAGCCTGGTGTCAAAAGACTTTGAACCCCGTGCAAAAAAAAAAAAAAAAAAACGGCCCACCATCAGCACCTTAAATGTTCATCGTGAATTTGCAGATAGCCAAAGCAAGGCCAAGCATGTCTGAGACTGTCCTGCGCAAACTTCCTACTTCAAGGGGCGCTTGGATTGAATGACATAAGTAATCCCTGATTAGCCGCCGCGCATTGCATCCCCAGCCAGGAGCCACGAATGTGCACAATTGCAGCCCCGGCACATGGATGCAATCTCCTTCTGCTCTGTCTCCAAAGCTCTCCGAAGAGCCTCAACCTGTCAGCCCCCTGCCCACACGGCTTCAGTACACGCATCGTGCTGCGGGCACCCAGCAGCCACGCGGTTTAAGATCCAGGGCTGCCGTATCCAGATCTGGGGGCCTTGATTTAACAGGTCGTTACTAAGATTATTGGACCCTGGTAGCGGTCCTTTTTGTTATTTACTGTGCTACTACGGAAATTTAGGGCTGCATGGAGACCTAGTAGCTCTGCACCCTTCCTGCAAGCCGTCATGATAACAGAAATGGAATGACAGCAATCGTAACCATCTAGCAGCCAGGAATGCTTCATTGTTGATGCTGGTCGCAGTCGGGGCTCAATTGTGGCACAATGGCTTACGCACGATAGCCCTCAAGAGCTGGGAAACAAAGCAGATTCGTGCAAGCAACAGCATAGAAGTACGGGGGAAGGTTGGGTTGAACATGTCCTTGTCAGCCTTTTGGGTTTAAAAGATGGGAACCATGTGCGCAAGCCGCCAGCCCCTCAGCGGAAATTCAGAATCCAGAGCAATGCCTGACAATGCGTGTAGGAGCACGACTGAACAATATGCCCCAGCACAATGTTTTGGTTAGTTGGGTCCCTTCAACACTTGCCGTCACCTTGTTGCCTTGCGGCATTGGCTCTCTTAGCACAACCCCTGCATCTTGAGCCCGCAGCCGCAAAACCTACAATTCTTAAGATGGCTCTATGACCCAATCTGATCCTACCCCAATCCCAATATCCGGAAACGCAGTGACAGAATCTCTCCTCATCCTCGGTCTACTTCCTTTGTCCTTTGACCTGTGAACGCCCCATAAAGCAGCATTTTGCTTGGTCTCTGGGACATCTCTGCCTCCTGCTCCAGCGACTCAAGGGTGGTTGGGCTTCCGCCCGTCTGCGCGACTTCCTCATCCGCGCGTGCGGCCTCGGGGCCTGATACGAGTCTAAGCTTCCAGACAAAGTAAGGGGACTCCAATATGGAAGATCTTATTCTGGGGACACCAAAAAAGGTACCCCTAATTTCGGGAAACCCCCTGTCCTGGAAACAAAAGTTTTCTGGCTAGAAGGCCCAAGAGTTTGAATGACATGTATCGCTTTCGTAAAGTTCTACATCAAAGAGTGCACACAAGAAAACATCTTCGAACCGCGTCCCACTGCCGTCAACAGATTCTTGCAACTACAATATCCTGATAAATCCTAAGCCCTAAACCCTAATATGGTTGAATGGCACAGGGGTGCGGGTACTCTGGCCTCTGACAAATTCATTTGAAAATTCAGCGCAGCGCAGGCTCTGAGTCTTGCCGAGGCACGCCCAGGGCGGGAGGACTTGACCAAGGTGCTCCCAGCTGCACGGATGGACTGGTTGCTGCGCATGGCATGCAGGACTCCAGCTAACCGAGCTATCGTTCTTCTGGAACTATGGGAGTTGCTGTTCAAGAGTCTACACTCCGTACGTTCACTGCGCGGGTTGCAGGTCTGCAAAGAGTGTGATTTCAATTTTTTGGATCCCTGCATGCAAATAGCTTGGAGTTCCCACGGGCTAGCACATCGCCAGCGCAGGCGGCTCACATGGGCTGAAACGATTGCGCATTGGAAAAGTACCTGGATGTCAGCCAAAGGCGCCTTGAGCCACGCAGACTCAAGTTGCTACCGCAAAGACTGCGAGAAAGGGCCTAAGTACCTGGAGCAGGGTATTGGGGTAGACTGAAACAGGATTCTGCAAGAAGTGAAGTTAATGGCTGTTCACTGGCATGTGTGAAAGTTCATGATCTGAAGCAAGGCATCCCTTGCTCAGAAAGTTTCCAAAGGTTGGAACAATGAAGCAAAAGCTGCGTCCTTCAGCGAACTGCCCCAGTACAATTCACGCTCCCTCCCTCTGTCTCTCATGCATTAACTTGCTTCACAATAAGGCCACAATACATTCGCCTTCAACGTACAGGCGCCTGTAAGAAAACAGAATGGAGAAAACGAACTGCTCATTCCAACATATTCTGACAAGTCCTCCATCCTGCATTGAAGCTATCATCGCAAGTTACTGCTTCTTGTTGAAATACGATTAATAAGTGTCATTTGAATCTAAAACGGGCCAAAGTATACATAAAAATGTAAGATACCGTTCAACAAGAACCCAGGTTATGGGCATGCGTCTATATGAGCCCTGGACTAAATTTGTAGTATATCCCTTAATAGGTCCCTCCCAAAATCCTGTATAGTTCCCCATAAGCCCCCCCTAACCTAAATTTGGTCCGTAGCTCATATGCGCTCGTACTCTCTACAGAAATTGCCAGCCTTCAGAGCTCTTGACGAGGGGGCCCACCTTGCACAGCAGACTCGGGGCAGAACCCATGCGCTTCTCAAGAAATCCTGGGGATTTATGGAGATTACGAAATATGTCGAGATATGTCGAGGATTGCGTAGGCGCACCCAACTTGGAGGCCCCCCTCGGAACTACCGGGAGACGTTTGTGAGGAATATTCAGGGTTAAGGGTGGGTAGGATGCGATGGCACTGCGTCCAAAGCAGGGCATCGGTTCAATGGCCAGACTCTCTTCAGAAAACAAAAGAGCTTGTTCCCATGCAACAGCCCTCAACCCTCTGGAGGGCATCGGCTCCCCACACAATCTGAACTTGAATTGCCCGCGGGAGCTTTACGATGCGGTATGGTGTGGGGATGTGTGGGGTGAGGCGTGCTCCCGATCCCGAAGCCCTTGGGAATGCGCAGTCGGCCCTTCCGAAGGGCAAGCAACCCTTGCCTCATCTAAGCTTTTGCCCTCGACGCTCACTCCGTTCACAGCCACCACCTCATCACCCTCCAGGACCCACATGCCTGCAGCACTTGCATGGAAGGCGTGCGTGTGTCTGGCAATAGAAGCTAACGCCCAGAAAAGCTGAAATTGATTGAAGAACACCTGAGTGCGCCGTGACGAGCCTCAAGTAGCTGAAGGCACATGTCTCACTGCCAAAAGCTTGGAGCTGCTGATCACCCACTAATGCGGCACCTTCTTCACCGTCTACGATGACCTCGGGTAGGCGCTGCCGCTGACACTCTAAGTGCGCATCGATAACCTCCCCTGCTCAAATCAAATAGCCAAAGTTCCCAATGGCAAGCTGCGTACATTCAGATAGGGCTACCTAATTCCATGAGACTGGAATAAAGTAGATTTCAGGATGGGCTCTCGGATCTCGCTCTGGGGCCGCAACTCGTCGATTCAACTGGTCAGTGTTGCCATCCTCGCGCAACACGGGGGCCATACATACCACAAGTGGCAAGACAAGGGCCATGCGCAAAAGGAACCACGGATTCTCACGTTCTGTCACGGAGGGCTAGGTGCTGTTTCTTCATGAAGCACCAAGAGCGCTTACATGCTTGCTTGTGTTGTGATGCTTTCTTGGGGTGTCTGTGTGGTTGATGCGGCACTGTTGCAGCTCCCTGAAACTCGCTGAGGTGAAAGCATGACAGCGCCTGCACTCTTTTTCTGGCGTTCATTCTATCGGATGGCACCAGGCCCACTGCTACACGGCCCTGAGACAAAGCTAAGGCCCGTTTTTCGGCCAAAGCCTTCTCCAGTCATTAACAGGATCTGCGAATAAATCCGAACTGATTCTGTAACGAAAGCACAAGAGTCAAGCACAAAATCTTTGAAGAACAGGCTCTAATTTTTCGTAAGTCGTCAATCATGCAGCCTAAGCCACGAAGCTGATCTTCAACGGCGCTGAGCTGGGATGTCTCATGCTGTCATGTAGATGGCAGCGGCGCATCCAACAGCACCTCCTCCCTGTCTTTCTGCACATTGCCTCACAGCAGTCTTTCACGGTATTTACCGGAGACATAGTTCATGATCTGGAAACAAGGTCTCATGGCACTTACAGCAGGAATCGCGAGATTGGTAGTCACCGCTCAAAATGAACGTTGCAATCTGAGAAAAGCATAGCACCGTGTGTAGAATGCTAATGCAGCACCCAGCATCGCCCCTCCCTAATACTCCCTATTTAAATTTGGATTCCCGATATTGGACAAGATTGATGCTGTTTGGTAATGCGATGGGCTATCGTGAACTATGTGACACTATTCGGCTGTCCAGCAGGGGCCGCCACATTAATGGAGAAGCTCAAAACCTCGCACGCAACCACCCGTCATCCCTTCAAACAATAATAACAATAAAAAATAATAACAATAATAATAATAATAATAACAATAAGGCACCCCAGAATCCGCCAAGGAGCTGTACTTAGTGACATCCTTCAGGGTGAGCCCGGTGCCACGGAGGTCAGCAAATCGGAAGTTGGCTCTTTGCAGTTTGGCATCGTCCGCGCTGCAAGCGTTGCCTCAAGCTCTTTTTGGTGGGTGCACATGTGTTGGACTGGTAAGTGTGAGATGTTCAGCTGTAACTTCTGTTGGGCTTGAGTCTGGAGCCTGGATCATGGGTTCTCCAGAATATCGACGACCTAAGTGCCTGCGGGGCTTTCAGCTTTCATTGGCGCACTCCCAAACTCTGCATAGCTTCGAACCGTTAGAGGGATCCTGACACACGGAATGCACACACTTTTGGGCACTCTCTTTCCGGAAGCTGGGAATTTCTTCAAATGATTCGCGCACAGTGCCTTAGGGCCCTTTTTGGTATGCCCTGAGCGAAAGCGACCCTCCCTAAACTCTAAACCCAAAGCCCTATTCAAACCGTAAACCCTAAACCTCTAACAGTTTGCCGCAAAGACACGCAAAGACGCTTCCTCTAAGTTGGCTCCCTCCATATTGGTGAGCAGTAGGTCGGCCCCTGGACAGTTCATTTTCTCCCCCTTTTACTAGGGCTGATCTGGGGGCCCTATAAAAATCAAACTTTGATGGCTTTATTAGGATTGTACAGGAGTTAATGGTAACATAAGAATATTAATGTTCAGACCTACCCCCTTATGGAGAGACTCCCCAGCGCCCCAGTTATAAACGATCCCAAAACAGTAGTAGAGCTGTATTGCGAAAATGCTTCTTGTTATTGGATGGGGGATCAGACGACCAGAGGACCAACACGCAGTTAAGCGTGTGGGTTTGGGCTTGGGAGTTTGTGGGTTTCGGGCTTCAGGCGTACAGAGAAAGGCCTACAAAGTCTGCATGAGCATTTTCGAGGTACATATGAGCTATAGTATCCCCCTTAATAGCCCCTGTAGTACTCCCCTACATCTAAGGAATTTTGACTATGGTACAAAAGGGGGATCTTGACAGAACCTTGGGTCTGCAGGTTGACATTCGAACTTTAAAGGAGGAGGTGCTGGCCTCCCTGAGAGCTCAGGAGCCGAGTGTCCGCGGCATTCGTGAACTTTAGAGAAAATGTAGACCCCTGATTAATTAATGGGGATTTTAATAGGGATCCTCATCTTAAGGGCCCTTCAAAGGAGGGGGTTTATTAGTCATGGGTCCACATTACTTAGTTTGGTATGGGGAGTGGATAGTAAACTATAGACAGCAGGGTCCAGGTTTTGGCTGGATTTTGTTCTGAATGAGTACAATGATTATGAGGAACAAGTTTTTCTCTTAATCAACCTTAATTCGCAGAAAATAGAGGGCCCATGAAGTGCTAGGTCTTTTTGCTGGGGCTTGTGCCCATGCAGACATGTAGACAGAACCACGCATCTTTCGGTCAGTTGAAGGGGCTGATTTAACCACAATGCAAGCAAAAATATCGTGGGTGAAGCTCAGTGGCAAACTACCGTCGCTGAAGCTGACAGCTGCATGTACCACTTCTTTTGTGGCACCTTTGGTGAGGAAGCCTCCCGCCTTCGCTAATGGCTTCAGTCGCTTGAGCCTCACCTGTGTTCTGACCTCATGGATTGCCAAGCTTTAAGAAATTGCCAAAGATTTAGAAGGCATGCTGGGCTGCAGGGTTTACCAAACCTCTGTCCTTGCCATTGCTCCGTTACTGAACACGTCCCGTTGAAACAACCACAGGGCCGCCAAGCAAAACTGACGTAACCTCTTTGCAACTTTCATTAACCGCAGTACCTCGCTTCAAGGACTCCTTGCTCAGAGAAGGATGTGCATTTGAAGCACCACTGACTGGACAGTTCTTGAAATTCCGATCTGCATGTATGACTAGTGAAGGTGTCGGGTGTTTTCCATACGAACCAAATATACAGGGCCCCGACTTTGAAAGCCCATATCATCTACACAAGACATAGGATCCTTGAATGGGGCCCACAGTGGAAACATTGCTAGCTTCATCACTCCTGTACTGTACCGGTGGCACCTTCGAGATCTGCCTGATGAAGGACACTGTGGCCAAGATCCTTAGCGGCTCTGCCACATGGAATGAATGGATAGGATCAGGCGTTCTGAGATTTCTCCAGCATGTTTTGGGACATCAAAGTCTCGGGCATGAGAGCTAC